TCTACATTCAGTGTGAGAATTAAACACCGTTCTTGACATTTTTTGCTTGATGCATTCTGATAAAAATAACCTAGCAACATAATTAATGTTACATTAAAGAACTTCCTTAGTTGAATATGAAATATTCTGGTATTTTCCAATCACTTGTTTTTTTAATGATTTTAATTTATGTAATGTTTTAGTGATTTAATGTATGTAATATTTTAGTGATTTTAATGTATGTATGTTTTCGTGATTTTCATGTATGTCGATAATTTAATGCATATGCTTTTGAGATTAAAGAATTCTTGAGAATTAATGTATCATCCTTATGCTGAATACTTTTTAATCTTTTGTTTTTATCAAATTAGCAATATTTGGAAAAGTAATTTTTATAGAAATATCTAATATTCCCTTTAAATTTGTATTTTTCTCACATCTGACAATCATATTTTTAACTTTTTTTGACTTGGGTAGGAAACCATAACACAGTTTTGTTTCCTTCCATTGCTATTTCATCAGAGTTTACTTTAAAATGCTAAAATTTATGCTTATTCCTAAAATTTTTATAAAATTAGAGAAATTAATTCCTTGTACATTCATTTGTAGTTATCGTTGTATATGTCTTATCTTAGTTGACATTCCCATCTCTCTTGCTTGGCGTCAGCGGTTCTCTTCTTACTACTAACCGTGATATTTTAAAGTTTGCCCAAAGGTTGAAAGTCAAAAGTAATTATACAAAACAAAGAACTGAAATACTAGAAATTAAAATTAATTAAAAACATATGCAGGCTTTATTAGGAGTTTAGGATTAATAAGTCACAAATGACTTCAGATTTGCTCAATTGAGTACAATTTCTTTCGCACAGAACTTGGTTTGATCTTTTTATGCTCGAATGTGCAGTTAAAGAAACCTAATACCAAACTTACAGCATGAAACCTGTACTATGGCCAATTTTGTATACCTTAATTTTCAGGTAATCTTAAATTCGTCTATATTTAATACTAGTTTAAATCAATAGACTTAGTATTTTATTTTTTCTTTATAAATGAAGCTGAAAGAAAGCCATGTTTTATTTTTGGAGAGGAGTGAGTACATGCGCGTACGTTACTACAACGTTTTTATAGTGCAACAATGAGCAAGACTCACTCATAATAATAATATTTCATTGGTTTTGGTATCTCATAATATTTCTATCTCCTACTCAGCATGGATTTTATGGGTAAAAGTGCATATCAAAGTAATAATTTCAACATTTATTGAACAAGATAAAACTCTGACTTCTTTTCTAATAGGTTTTCAACAACGAACATGTGGTTAGAGCGTTACTTTTCCAAGTCCATTTAGTAAGAATACATTTCAAGGAGCTTTTAATCTCTTTTTCTGCTTTGGTCTCAGATAAATTTCTATTCAATAGCAGTCTTTTGAAGTCTGAACCAGTAGAATTGTCTTCTTTTAGCTTCATAAAAATATAGAATTTTTTACAATTATGCTTAAGAATCTTAATTTCTTTGCAGTGCATTTGAAAATGTTTTCACAAAAACCTAGAAGAGATAACAATTTTACTATAATAAAAAGATTAATTTTTATTATAGTAAAATTGTTATCTCTTCTAGGTTTTAATTTACTATAATAAAAAAGGTTATAGTAAAGTTTAATGCTAAACGTCACTTGTAGAGTCATTTAAAGTTTTTGAACTCAGAGAAATAATAAAGAGTTTATGAACTCAGAGAGATAAATCAGAGCAATGTCCTCTTGGGAACTCCTGACCTCTCAATTTCTGGCCGAACGAGTCTATAATTATACCACCGAGACGATAAAGAGGGAGAAAAACCTTACACATTGATTCCGTTTTATTTTCAAGATACTTTTCATTAATCATTTCACCACCATTGTTGTAATTTTTCAAACTTTATATATTGTTTTTGTCCTCAACATACAGTAAGATGACAATTTGAGCAATCTCTTATCTTTGAAGTTTTATTATTTGGAAGTAAATTTTATAAGTTTTCTTGGTTTGAAAATCCTACTTTTCTTAGACTTGTTTTTTCGTTCTCTTGGCAAATACATGACAGAATTATTTTTTGAAAAAGCTGATGTCTTTTGCTTATAAGAATGACTGATGCAACTGTAACCATGTCGCTGTAAAGAGCACATATTTTCCCAGTAGCTCTTTTAAAGTGTCCGTTTTTTTTTCTTTAATTGTGTCCATCTCCGCTAGAAGATCAGACATTGCTTCTCTGTTATTTAACGATTCCTTCATCTAATCTTCAGTTAAAAGCTGTTTCTCGTAATGAGCGCTTTTATTATCAAGGGGTTTTATAAGCACCCAATTCTTCTTTTGTAATTTTCTGATTCATTGTTTGACTTCTCTATCTTCCATATGTGAAAATTCTTCGGAATGCTTTGCATTTGAGATTTGTAAGATTTTTTTGAACTTCATTTTCAGTCTATGGAAATTGTTTAAAGTAGCAGATAAATTCTTTCTGGTGTTGATGGATGAATGTTGAACCACGTATGAATGAAATTCTAGCAGTGGACAAATTAAATGGAATCCTGTAAGGTACTGCTATACGCGAAATCACGCTTTACAAGTCTGCGCTCAGCAAGTACCTGCTGTATTAGAAATGATAGGCTACGAAACGTGACTTGAAGAATCATATGAGGTATCTAGAATGCAGATTGGTAGTTTAGTCGTGATAAATAAACAGTCTATACAGATGACCGGAAATAATAAAAATTTAGATGGATTAACTATAAAGTATTTTACTCCTGGACCATGGATTAGTCATAAACAGTACTTGTGTAAAAACAGATTAAAGTATATGGATTCCCTGTTTAAGAAAGGAATTTCTTTCTGACAGTATGCAGTCTGTACCATACCTGGAATAGCGAGGTGTTGCATCTTCAGGGAAACAAAATCTTTTATTCTGTAATTTTTACTGAAAATGTGTGTTTAAATTTTGTTACCTAGATAACAAAATTAGATAACCCTATTTTTAACTCTTTTTATATGAAAATGAAACCAAATACAGACAAAGAAATAAAATTGCATTCCTTCCCTTAGTGCAGTTATGTGCAACTTTAACTTAAAGGGAGCCAATTTTGAGTTTATAAAATTTTGGCGAGCTACAAGTATCTAGTGCACTTTTAATATTTCAGTTATAAATGCATTACACAAAGTATAAAAATGTGTGGTATAATATGTTAAAGAAAAGGTATACTCTTTGTATTATTTACAAAAAATTCAGCAAGATGAAAGTTAAATACAGGGAAATCATATTTTAATGTGAAATTTAACACTGCATTTCTTCTGCGAGTTTTTTTTTTTTTTTTTTCCTCTGGTACATGCGATGTTATGGCTAAATCCTTGCAGTCGTTGGGATGTTGATTTGTTATCCTGTATCTAAACATTGATTTTAACAAGTTCATTGTTGAAAATCCTCTTTCACATTTTTAAGTAGATCGGAAGCAGGAATTTATCTTTTTAAAAGTTTAACTGTTCATGATTTTTCTGTTCTAGGACTATTCAAATGGCTTTTTGTGATATTCTTGATCTTAATTAGGATGAAAATCAGTTATTTCCATTTCTAGATCAATAGAATTGTTATTTAACATATTTGCAATCTTTTACCATTTTTCTTAAATACTAGTATTATGTAATGGGTTTGAAGTGAATGAAGTAGTTAGCCTAATTTTAAATACACTCAAAACATCTAATTTAGAAACTAATTTAAGCTCGATGAGATTTTCCAAATGATTGTTTCAGTTTTCTTATATTTCACGCCTTAGTTCTCCAGATTTTCAAAGGGAACATTTTTAGCATAACGTACATTACATTATGGTAAAAATGTATATTCCTCAAATTTGTGTAATATTTTCACAAAATTAATTTTGATTTAAAATGAATTTATAATACCCTTTAATTCAAAGACTTTAGTTCTCTTGCCCCCCCTCAAATTTAAGATTTAGTTACTATGTCTGTAAGAATGGCTAAATCATAGAACCAGGTATGTTCAATAATTTCTTCATAAGTTTCGTTTCTGGATTTTTAAAATTCTTCTATGAAACTTTTGTAACAGAAGCTGGGATGGAACCCGGGCAGCCAGACAGAATGTCCCTTCCCTGAGTGAAAAGTTCTATCATTTCTTTGAAAGTGACCTTATAATATTTCAGAATAAACCCTCGTAACACTAATAAATGTATATAGATTTTTTAATGTTTATTTAATGCGTGTTTGGTTCTTAAAATATTTTGAGCTATTATATTACTAATTCTGTATGTGAATTAACACAGTTTAATATAGAACACCTGCTTCAAGGCTAAAGGTAAAGTATTTGAATAATGTTTTACCTTTCGTCTGTTTTCAGACGCAGGTTCTATTCTACAATTTACGGAATTTCTCGGTATTGGACATCTCACATAGGTGACAAAATTTCATTCCTATGTGTAGGTTTCATAGTACAATAGGTTGAGCATCCCTACATTAGTATATGACTTTGATTCCTTCGAAAGAAAAAGGAGTATCTTAGTTTTCTTGAATTTTTGGTCAAAATTTTAGTATGTAGGTAATTGCAATAGCTCTTCCACGAAATTGCATTTGAATTTTTTGTAACATTTCAAAATGCTGTATCATTCAATGGCATTTGATGTGTTTTAGCTTGCTATATTAAAGCTGGGCTCGAACCCGGGCAGCTATACAATATGTTCTTTCCCTGAGTGAAATATTTCTATAATTACATTAAAGTCACCTGGTAATATTTCAAGATAATTTCTGGTATATCGGACTAAGCTGTCCTCTCTCATGGATGAGAGTACCTGCATTGCAGTCATGCTTTTAGTAACAATGTAGCACATTGCTGGAGTTTAAAACAAAGAAGGCTACTTTCTTTGAAGTTTTTATTTAAGAAACAATATTAGATATTTTTTCTCTTTGTGTATAATTATTCTTTAATATTCAAAGTAGTTAAAATCTAATGATTCCTTTTTTCCCTTTTGGCCTCTTCTAGTGTAATTTGTCATCATTTTTGTGCACTCTTGGAATTGCAGAACATGATATCGTGAAAGAAAAAGAACGGATGAAATAATGCAGAGAGCAAAAAGACATCTGTGGCTGGTAATTCTTGTTTTATATCAACTTTATTTCCACTAGAAATGCTTGAATGTTATAATTTGTCCATCCCTTTTCACATGTTGCTTTATATTGGAGCTTTACTAGTTATTTATTTTACATGAACGTGTCACATTATGTTTTAATGTTTAGGGTAGCATTTGTGCATTAATTTCGTAGGTTTTGAATTCCATATTGAAGTGTCTGAATTGGTGCTTTCTCTATATTGTATTGTAATATTCGAAGTGAGGTTGAACTGTTAATCACACTATAATTATCAGAAGTCTGAGATTTGTTAGAGTTCTGTTGCTTCGTAGTGGTTTCAAAAGTACTGCTGTGGTGTAATTTTTTCCCAAGTGGCCTCCTTTCGCATTACGAGGAGGAGGCTAAACATTTTCCTCTCTGTGTGGCCTAATATTTTCCATGTCCAACGGGGTCTTCTCTTCCCAACAGGCCAGTGTAATTGCACTGCCTGTGTATAAACCAATTTTGTTTCAGTTTTTTCCGAATTTAGAGTCTCTCTATCAAGTGCTGTTTCTCTTAAAACCATTGAAAGTTAAGTGTTGAATAAAAAAGAAATGTAAATAAAAATTTAATGTATACTCGTAAAGAAAGTTAGTGGAGCCAAATTATCTTCTGTTAAGGATGCTCAAAATGTGCTTTTTTTTTAGTTGTTTTAAGCATACTTTATTATATTTTTTCCTTAATCTGAACAATTTTGGCATATTGTGAAGTTTTTTGAACCAATTTGCGAAGATCTCTTTAAAATTGATTTGATAAAAAAAATTCATTTTGAAATAAAATCAGAGATGTTTTATTATTATCGAAGTAAAATTCTGCAGACTAACTTTCAACTTGGTTTTGAAAAGCACTCTGAAAGTTTCTTTTGGACTTGTTTTCGTTCTCTTGGCAAATACATGACAGAATTATTTTTTGAAAAAGCTGATGTCTTTTGCTTATAAGAATGACTGATGCAACTGTAACCATGTCGCTGTAAAGAGCACATATTTCCCAGTAGCTCTTTTAAAGTGTCCGTTTTTTTCTTTAATTGGGTCCATCTCCGCTAGAAGATCAGACATTGCTTCTCTGTTATTTAACGATTCCTTCATCTTATCTTCAGTTAAAAGCTGTTCCTCGTAATAAGCGCTTTTATTATCAAGGGGTTTTATAAGCACCCAATTCTTCTTTTGTAATTTTCTGATTCATTGTTTGACTTCTCTATCTTCCATATGTGAAAATTCTTCGGAATGCTTTGCATTTGAGATTTGTAAGATTTTTTTGGACTTCATTTTCAGTTGATGGAAATTGTTTAAAATAGCAGATAAATTCTTTCCGGTGTTGATGGATGCATGTTGAACCACGTATGAATGAAATTCTAGCAGTGGACAAATTAAATGGAATCCTGTTAAGGTACTGCTATACGCGAAATCACGCTTTACAAGTCTGCGCTCAGCAAGTACCTGCTGTATTAGAAATGATAGGCTACGAAACGTGACTTGAAGAATCATATGAGGTATGTAGAATGCAGATTGGTAGTTTAGTCGTGATAAATAAACAGTCTATACAGATGACCGGAAATAATAAAAATTTAGATGGATTAACTATAAAGTATTTTACTCCTGGACCATGGATTAGTCATAAACAGTACTTGTGTAAAAACAGATTAAAGTATATGGATTCCCTGTTTAAGAAAGGAATTTCTCTCTGACAGTATGCAGTCTGTACCATACCTGGAATAGCGAGGTGTTGCGTCTTCAGGGAAACAAAATCTTTTATTCTGTAATTTTTACTGAAAATTAGATAACCCTATTTTTAACTCTTTTTATATGAAAATGAAACCAAATACAGACAAAGACATAAAATTGCATTCCTTCCCTTAGTGCAGTTATGTGCAACTTTAACTTAAAGGGAGCCAGTTTTGAGTTTATAAAATTTTGGCGAGCTACAAGTTATCTAGTGCACTTTTAATATTTCAGTTATAAATGCATTACACAAAGTATAAAAATGTGTGTGGTATAATATGTTAAAGAAAAGGTATACTCTTTGTATTATTTACAAAAAATTCAGCAAGATGAAAGTTAAATACAGGGAAATCGTATTTTAATGTGAAATTTAACACTGCATTTCTTCTGCGAGTTTTTTTTTTTTTTTGCCTCTGATACATGCGATGTTATGGCTAAATCCTTGCAGTCGTTGGGATGTTGATTTGTTATCCTGTATCTAAACATTGATTTTAACAAGTTCATTGTTGAAAATCCTCTTTCACATTTTTAAGTAGATTGGAAGCAGGAATTTATCTTTTTAAAAGTTTAACTGTTCATGATGTTTCTGTTCTAGGACTATTCAAATGGCTTTTTGTGATATTCTTGATCTTAATTAGGATGAAAATCAGTTATTTCCATTTCTAGATCAATAGAATTGTTATTTAACATATTTGCAATCTTTTACCATTTTTCTTAAATACTAGTATTATGTAATGGGTTTGAAGTGAATGAAGTAGTTAGCCTAATTTTAAATACACTCAAAACATCTAATTTAGAAACTAATTTAAGCTCGATGAGATTTTCCAAATGATTTTTTTCAGTTTTCTTATATTTCACCCCTTAGTTCTCCAGATTTTCAAAGGGGCAAAACGTACATTACATTATGGTAAAAATGTATATTCCTCATATTTGTGTAATATTTTCACAAAATTAATTTTGATTTAAAATGAATTTATAATACCCTTTAATTCAAAGACTTTAGTTTAGTTCTCTCGCCCCCTCCCTCAAATTTAAGATTTAGTTACATGTCTGTAAGAATGGCTAAATCATAGAACCAGGTATGTTCAATAATTTCTTCATAAGTTTCGTTTCTGGATTTTTAAAATTCTTCTATGAAACTTTTGTAACAGAAGCTGGGATGGAACCCGGGCAGCCAGACAGAATGTCCCTTCCCTGAGTGAAAAGTTCTATCATTTCTTTGAAAGTGACCTTATAATATTTCAGAATAAACCCTCGTAACACTAATAAACGTATATAGATTTTTTAATGTTTATTTAATGCGTGTTTGGTTCTTAAAATATTTTGAGCTATTATATTACTAATTCTGTATGTGAATTAACACAGTTTAATATAGAACACCTGCTTCAAGGCTAAAGGTAAAGTATTTGAATAATGTTTTACCTTTCGTCTGTTTTCAGACGCAGGTTCTATTCTACAATTTACGGAATTTCTCGGTATTGGACATCTCACATAGCTGACAAAATTTCATTCCTATGTGTAGGTTTCATAGTACAATAGGTTGAGCATCCCTACATTAGTATATGACTTTGATTCCTTCGAAAGAAAAAGGAGTATCTTAGTTTTCTTGAATTTTTGGTCAAAATTTTAGTATGTAGGTAATTGCAATAGCTCTTCCACGAAATTGCATTTAAATTTTTTGTAACATTTCAAAATGCTGTATCATTCAATGGCATTTGATGTGTTTTAGCTTGCTATATTAAAGCTGGGCTCGAACCCGGGCAGCTAGACAATATGTTCTTTCCCTGAGTGAAATATTTCTATAATTACATTAAAGTCACCTGGTAATATTTCAAGATAATTTCTGGTATATCGGACTAAGCTGTCCTCTCTCATGCTGGATTAAGAGAGTTACTCTTTTCTAATTTGTCTAAGTCAATGTTCTTTTTAATAACAATGTATGCACATTGCTGTGTAGTTTTAAAACAAAGAAGTAGTACTCTTTGAAGTTTTATATATTAAGAAACAATATTAGATATTTCTCTTTGTGTATAATTATTCTTTAATATCAAAGTAGTTAAAATCTAATGATTCCTTTTTTCCCCTTTTGGCCCCTTCTAGTGTAATTTGTGATCATTTTTGTGCACTCTTGGAATGCAGAACATGATATCGTGAAAGAAAAAGAACGGATGAATAATGCAGAGCAAAAAGACATCTGTGGCTGGTAATTCTTGTTTTATATCAACTTTATTTCCACTAGAAATACTTGAATGTTATAATTTGTCCATCCCTTTTCACATGTTGCTTTATATTGGAGCTTTACTAGTTATTTATTTTACATGAACGTGTCACATTATGTTTTAATGTTTAGGGTAGCATTTGTGCATTAATTTCGTTAGGTTTTGAATTCCATATTGAAGTGTCTGAATTGGTGCTTTCTCTATATTGTATTGTAATATTCGAAGTGAGGTTGAACTGTTAATCACACTATAATTATCAGAAGTCTGAGATTTGTTAGAGTTCTGTTGCTTCGTAGTGGTTTCAAAAGTTACTGCTGTGGTGTAATTTTTTCCCAAGTGGCCTCCTTTCGCATTACGAGGAGGAGGCTAAACATTTTCCTCTCTGTGTGGCCTAATATTTTCCCTGTCCAACGGGGTCTTCTCTTCCCAACAGGCCAGTGTAATTGCACTGCCTGTGTATAAAACAATTTTGTTTCAGTTTTTTCCGAATTTAGAGTGTCTCTATCAAGTGCTGTTTCTCTTAAAACCATTGAAAGTTAAGTGTTGAATAAAAAAGAAATGTAAATAAAAATTTAATGTATACTCGTAAAGAAAGTTAGTGGAGCCAAATTGTCTTCTGTTAAGGATGCTCAAAATGTGCTTTTTCTTAGTTGTTTTAAGCATACTTTATTATATTTTTTCCCTAATCTGAACAATTTTGGCATATTGTGAAGTTTTATGAACCAATTTGCGAAGATCTCTTTAAAATCGATAAAAAAAAATTCATTTTGAAATAAAATCAGAGATGTTTTATTATTATCGAAGTAAAATTCTGCAGACTAACTTTCAACTTGGTTTTGAAAAGCACTCTGAAAGTTTCTTTTGGACTTGTTTTCGTTCTCTTGGCAAATACATGACAGAATTATTTTTTGAAAAAGCTGATGTCTTTTGCTTATAAGAATGACTGATGCAACTGTAACCATGTCGCTGTAAAGAGCACATATTTCCCAGTAGCTCTTTTAAAGTGTCCGTTTTTTTCTTTAATTGTGTCAATCTCCGCTAGAAGATCAGACATTGCTTCTCTGTTATTTAACGATTCCTTCATCTTATCTTCAGTTAAAAGCTGTTTCTCGTAATGAGCGCTTTTATTATCAAGGGGTTTTATAAGCACCCAATTCTTCTTTTGTAATTTTCTGATTCATTGTTTGACTTCTCTATCTTCCATATGTGAAAATTCTTCGGAATGCTTTGCATTTGAGATTTGTAAGATTTTTTTGGACTTCATTTTCAGTTGATGGAAATTGTTTAAAATAGCAGATAAATTCTTTCCGGTGTTGATGGATGCATGTTGAACCACGTATGAATGAAATTCTAGCAGTGGACAAATTAAATGGAATCCTTTAAGGTACTGCTATACGCGAAATCACGCTTTACAAGTCTGCGCTCAGCAAGTACCTGCTGTATTAGAAATGATAGGCTACGAAACGTGACTTGAAGAATCATATGAGGTATCTAGAATGCAGATTGGTAGTTTAGTCGTGATAAATAAACAGTCTATACAGATGACCGGAAATAATAAAAATTTAGATGGATTAACTATAAAGTATTTTACTCCTGGACCATTAGTCATAAACAGTACTTGTGTAAAAACAGATTAAAGTATATGGATTCCCTGTTTAAGAAAGGAATTTCTTTCTGACAGTATGCAGTCTGTACCATACCTGGAATAGCGAGGTGTTGCATCTTCAGGGAAACAAAATCTTTTATTCTGTAATTTTTACTGAAAATGTGTGTTTAAATTTTGTTACCTAGATAACAAAATTAGATAACCCTATTTTTAACTCTTTTTATATGAAAATGAAACCAAATACAGACAAAGAAATAAAATTGCATTCCTTCCCTTAGTGCAGTTATGTGCAACTTTAACTTAAAGGGAGCCAATTTTGAGTTTATAAAATTTTGGCGAGCTACAAGTATCTAGTGCACTTTTAATATTTCAGTTATAAATGCATTACACAAAGTATAAAAATGTGTGGTATAATATGTTAAAGAAAAGGTATACTCTTTGTATTATTTACAAAAAATTCAGCAAGATGAAAGTTAAATACAGGGAAATCATATTTTAATGTGAAATTTAACACTGCATTTCTTCTGCGAGTTTTTTTTTTTTTTTTGCCTCTGGTACATGCGATGTTATGGCTAAATCCTTGCAGTCGTTGGGATGTTGATTTGTTATCCTGTATCTAAACATTGATTTTAACAAGTTCATTGTTGAAAATCCTCTTTCACATTTTTAAGTAGATCGGAAAGCAGGAATTTATCTTTTTAAAAGTTTAACTGTTCATGATTTTTCTGTTCTAGGACTATTCAAATGGCTTTTTGTGATATTCTTGATCTTAATTAGGATGAAAATCAGTTATTTCCATTTCTAGATCAATAGAATTGTTATTTAACATATTTGCAATCTTTTACCATTTTTCTTAAATACTAGTATTATGTAATGGGTTTGAAGTGAATGAAGTAGTTAGCCTAATTTTAAATACACTCAAAACATCTAATTTAGAAACTAATTTAAGCTCGATGAGATTTTCCAAATGATTGTTTCAGTTTTCTTATATTTCACGCTTTAGTTCTCCAGATTTTCAAAGGGGCAAAACGTACATTACATTATGGTAAAAATGTATATTCCTCATATTTGTGTAATATTTTCACAAAATTAATTTTGATTTAAAATGAATTTATAATACCCTTTAATTCAAAGACTTTAGTTTAGTTCTCTCGCCCCCTCCCTCAAATTTAAGATTTAGTTACTATGTCTGTAAGAATGGCTAAATCATAGAACCAGGTATGTTCAATAATTTCTTCATAAGTTTCGTTTCTGGATTTTTAAAATTCTTCTATGAAACTTTTGTAACAGAAGCTGGGATGGAACCCGGGCAGCCAGACAGAATGTCCCTTCCCTGAGTGAAAAGTTCTATCATTTCTTTGAAAGTGACCTTATAATATTTCAGAATAAACCCTCGTAACACTAATAAATGTATATAGATTTTTTAATGTTTTTATTTAATGCGTGTTTGGTTCTTAAAATATTTTGAGCTATTATATTACTAATTCTGTATGTGAATTAACACAGTTTAATATAGAACACCTGCTTCAAGGCTAAAAGTTAAGTATTTGAATAATGTTTTACCTTTCGTCTGTTTTCAGACGCAGGTTCTATTCTACAATTTACGGAATTTCTCGGTATTGGACATCTCACATAGCTGACAAAATTTCATTCCTATGTTTAGGTTTCATAGTACAATAGGTTGAGCATCCCTACATTAGTATATGACTTTGATTCCTTCGAAAGAAAAAGGAGTATCTTAGTTTTCTTGAATTTTTGGTCAAAATTTTAGTATGTAGGTAATTGCAATAGCTCTTCCACGAAATTGCATTTAAATTTTTTGTAACATTTCAAAATGCTGTATCATTCAATGGCATTTGATGTGTTTTGGCTTGCTATATTAAAGCTGGGCTCGAACCCGGGCAGCTAGACAATATGTTCTTTCCCTGAGTGAAATATTTCTATAATTACATTAAAGTCACCTGGTAATATTTCAGGATAATTTCTGGTATATCGGACTAAGCTGTCCTCTCTCATGGATGAGAGTACCTTAATTAGTCTTATGTTCTTTTAGTAACAATGTATCACATTGCTGGATTTTAAAACAAAAAGGCTACTCTTTTAAGTTTTATTATATTAAGAAATAATATTAGATATTTCTCTTTTGTGTATAATTATTCTTTAATATCAAAGTAGTTAAAATCTAATGATTCCTTTTTTCCCCTTTTGGCCTCTTCTAGTGTAATTTGTCATCATTTTTGTGCACTCTTGGAATGCAGAACATGATATCGTGAAAGAAAAAGAACGGATGAATAATGCAGAGCAAAAAGACATCTGTGGCTGGTAATTCTTGTTTTATATCAACTTTATTTCCACTAGAAATGCTTGAATGTTATAATTTGTCCATCCCTTTTCACATGTTGCTTTATATTGGAGCTTTACTAGTTATTTATTTTACATGAACGCTGTCACATTATGTTTTAATGTTTAGGGTAGCATTTGTGCATTAATTTCGTAGGTTTTGAATTCCATATTGAAGTGTCTGAATTGGTGCTTTCTCTATATTGTATTGTAATATTCGAAGTGAGGTTGAACTGTTAATCACACTATAATTATCAGAAGTCTGAGATTTGTTAGAGTTCTGTTGCTTCGTAGTGGTTTCAAAAGTACTGCTGTGGTGTAATTTTTTTCCCAAGTGGCCTCCTTTCGCATTACGAGGAGGAGGCTAAACATTTTCCTCTCTGTGTGGCCTAATATTTTCCATGTCCAACGGGGTCTTCTCTTCCCAACAGGCCAGTGTAATTGCACTGCCTGGGTATAAACCAATTTTGTTTCAGTTTTTTCCGAATTTAGAGTCTCTCTATCAAGTGCTGTTTCTCTTAAAACCATTGAAAGTTAAGTGTTGAATAAAAAAGAAATGTAAATAAAAATTTAATGTATACTCGTAAAGAAATTTAGTGGAGCCAAATTGTCTTCTGTTAAGGATGCTCAAAATGTGGCTTTTCTTAGTTGTTTTAAGCAATACTTTATTATATTTTTTCCCTAACCTGAACAATTTTGGCGTATTGCGAAGTTTTATGAACCAATTTGCAAAGATATCTTTAAAATTGATTTGATAAATAAAATTCATTTTGAAATAAAATCAGAGATGTTTTATTATTATCGAAGTAAAATTCTGCAGACTAACTTTCTACTTGGTTTTGAAAAGCACTCTGAAAGTTTGTTTTGGACTTGTTTTTGTTCTCTTGGCAAATACATGACAGAATTATTTTTTGAAAAAGCTGATGTCTTTTGCTTATAAGAATGACTGATGCAACTGTAACCATGTCGCTGTAAAGAGCACATATTTCCCAGTAGCTCTTTTAAAGTGTCCGTTTTTTTCTTTAATTGTGTCCATCTCCACTAGAAGATCAGACATTGCTTCTCTGTTATTTAACGATTCCTTCATCTAATCTTCAGTTAAAAGCTGTTTCTCGTAATGAGCGCTTTTATTATCAAGGGGTTTTATAAGCACCCAATTCTTCTTTTGTAATTTTCTGATTCATTGTTTGACTTCTCTATCTTCCATATGTGAAAATTCTTCGGAATGCTTTGCATTTGAGATTTGTAAGATTTTTTTGAACTTCATTTTCAGTCTATGGAAATTGTTTAAAGTAGCAGATAAATTCTTTCTGGTGTTGATGGATGAATGTTGAACCACGTATGAATGAAATTCTAGCAGTGGACAAATTAAATGGAATCCTGTAAGGTACTGCTATACGCGAAATCACGCTTTACAAGTCTGCGCTCAGCAAGTACCTGCTGTATTAGAAATGATAGGCTACGAAACGTGACTTGAAGAATCATATGAGGTATCTAGAATGCAGATTGGTAGTTTAGTCGTGATAAATAAACAGTCTATACAGATGACCGGAAATAATAAAAATTTAGATGGATTAACTATAAAGTATTTTACTCCTGGACCATTAGTCATAAACAGTACTTGTGTAAAAACAGATTAAAGTATATGGATTCCCTGTTTAAGAAAGGAATTTCTTTCTGACAGTATGCAGTCTGTACCATACCTGGAATAGCGAGGGTGTTGCATCTTCAGGGAAACAAAATCTTTTATTCTGTAATTTTTACTGAAAATGTGTGTTTTAAATTTTGTTACCTAGATAACAAAATTAGATAACCCTATTTTTAACTCTTTTTATATGAAAATGAAACCAAATACAGACAAAGAAATAAAATTGCATTCCTTCCCTTAGTGCAGTTATGTGCAACTTTAACTTAAAGGGAGCCAATTTTGAGT